CTCAACTCATATCCCCCTTTTCTTTCAGAGAATATATTTTTTAAATTTTCAGGTAACTGATTATATCTTACTCGGTACGTTATCTGCCTAGTTTTGAATTTGACAAGATCCCTAAATTTTAGTATGTTTGAACTAGGGCTGCAGCTATCGAATATTTTTGTAATCAAGTACTCTATTGAATCTTTGATCGATTAATCAAGTACTCTAATAAATGACCCTTTTGTGTTTGTAAACCATTATATCAAATAGCATGTTATAAAATATGAAAGACCTCTTAAAATGAGCAAGCAATTGCCAGTTATTCTTCAAGTTTCATTCAAAATTAGTTTTCAAAACTTCAGCACTTCAACTTTACTTCACAGTAAACAAATGTGGGCAGCTGCGGCCCAAACAGCACCAGAACCGCTCACCGCACATGCGCAAACATGGCTCGCCAGCTATTTCCCTATTAACAGACGTCCGTTTTAATTTCTACACTTTTTTTTCTCACACAATAACAAGGGTTGTCGAGAAAGCATGTTTGCCGAGGTTATGTCAAATTATACTGATCACAAAATATTCATTTACTTTATGTCCTTTTCCTCTCATAAATACCTGTGTCCTCCTGCAGCAATCCCGAGGGACAACAGACATCAATACCAGTGCAACAAAAAGTCTGACGTGTTGTGTAAAAACTACTATTTTTAGTACATTTTTAGGTCCGACGTGTTGCTACCAGACACAGTGTACGCTGAAACTGAGTGCTACAAACACAAGTCGCACAGTGTCCGCAGAATATTTAGCAGACCTCCGAGTCCACAAGCACAAGTGACTTTTACATGTGGGTGTTTCCTGGTCAGGTGCTGCAGTATTGATGATGTGGTGTTGTGGTAGGCTAAATCCATTTTACAGTATTTACACTGGACTACGTTTTCCACCTTACGAAGTGAAAAATGGTCCCACACCTTTGACATTTTCTGTCTTTTTCGCACTCCACCGGGGTCCACGTTGTCCGCTATGGCTTAAGAGAAAGTTAAGTTACATTCGCTTCGCTATTCGCGTGTGCATTCAGTGCAGTGTGTATGTACATCACTTATTTTGGTCCGAGTGAAACATGACCCCGGGCGATTGCAAAGCCATGAATTAATTAAACATGAATTAAACGAAGCCTCAAGGCAGAGAATTTGACTAGAGTATTTTTTGTACTCGAATTATTCGAGGTACTCGAGAAATCGTTTCAGCCCTAGTTTGAACTGATTGTGTTGTAAAGCGCCTTGGGGGTTCCAGGACTCTAGAAGGTGCTATATCAAATACAGTCCATTTACCATTTTAAAAATAATGAATTTGTGTGTTTCATATGTCCCACCTGATGAATTATCCTTATTGCTCTTTTTTGTAATATGTAAAGTGGCTGTAAAGTACATTTGCAAGTGTTTCCCCAAATCTCCACATGATAATTTAAGTACTATGAGACCATAGAATCATAAAGTATTTTTAGGGATTCGTGGTTTAACACCTGACTTGTTTTTGCTAACACTGCTATACTCTTTGCTATTTGCCATGTTTAATGTGAGGCTTCCAACAGATTTTATGATCCAACGTAACACCCAAAAATTTGTTTTCATATACCCGTTCAATACATATATCATCTACTATTACTTGTACTGGATCCATTATTTTTCATTTTCCAAACCATATCATCTTTGTTTTACTTAAATTTATTGAAAATGTATTCATCTCAAACCCCTGTTTTAAATGACTAAGTGTTGATGTCATTGTCCCTACAAGCTCTTGTAAACTCTCCCCAGAGCAAAAGATGTTGGTATCATCTGCATATAAAATAAATTTCAAAACGTTTGACACTTTTCTATACATAAATGATACATGTATGAGTAGTTTGGGACCCAGAACTGACCCTTGTGAAACACAGCACTTTATGTCCATGTAAGTGGATTTATATTCACCCATTTGTACAAACTGCTGTCTGTTTTCTAAATAACTCATAACCCAGTTCAGTCCAGCACCTCGTATGCCATATTACTCCTGTTTTGTGAATATTATCTTATGATCAATTGTATCAAATTCTTTCTTTAAGTCTGAAAATTCCTGCTGCATGTGTTTTATTGTCTATAGCATTTGAGATGTTATCAACCAATTCCAATAATGCCAGAGATGTTGATCTTTCCTTTCTAAAACCAGACTGACCATCCAGAAGCAATTTGTGTCTCTCAACATCTAATCTGTAGTTTTTCCAGAATCTTAGAAAACTGAGATAACAAAGAGACACATGTCTATAGTTAGTAAAATGATGTCTGTCGCCCGTTTTATAAAGGGGTTTTACTTTAGCTATTTTCATGTTATTTGGAAATGCGCCTGCATAAAAAGATAAATTACAGATATGTGTCAGTGGTTCTTCAATTACTTGTTTTACAATCATCATGTCAATGTCATTCCAATCATTTTATTTTTACATTTTAGCAAAAAATTCCCAATTCGATTCCCAATTTTAAGTTCACAATTCTGATTTTTTACAACAAAATGAATTTCGGTTATTTTAAGGCAACGTAAATTCTTTTTAACAATTGCTCTTTCCAATTATAACTTCTATTGTCTTACTAACAAAATGTAATACTTAACAAAATAATAGCATTAATTAAAGATAAGGAAATGAGCAAACCACATAACCCAGACTGGAAATGTGACTTCAGCAGCTTTCATATCGGAGTTGCGCATCAGATCGTGTTTTATAAACATGGACCAGTCCTGCACCAGTCTGTTAAAACGACCACATTTAATAAAAGAGCGTTTATCCTGCTACACCAGTAGAAGTGTCTCTACTTCACGGCTCTTTTAGGGTTTACCAAGACAATCCCGAACCAGGGGCATGTCCAGGGAGTGGCCTGGGGTAGCACATGCCACCCTTGGAATCTAATTGGCCACCCCAGGTGCCACCACACTAATTTACCGTTAAACAGTGGCGGGTGGTGCGTTCCACCCCTGGGCCTTCAGTGATTTCCTATTCAGTCCAATCTAATTTAATACACCTTAAAATACCATCAGTAGGACATCACAGCTGGAGAAACCACACACACACACACACACACACACACACACACACACACCAGTGGCTGGTCAAGACACATAATTTCCAGAGTCTTTAAAATCAAACTCGCATTCCCAGTTGAGAGTAGGAAGCTGACCACGGATACTGTCAAATCTCAGAAATGAAAGACGGGTTTAAGAGATGAGACAATAAAATAAATAAGTAAAGCAAACACATTATTTGCATTTGTTTTGGAGAAAATTGTACCGCGAAACAATTGAACATGTTGGCGCAGCTGCACACACCACGTTATACACAATATAAATTGCATAGAAACAGAACACAGAATAATTTCATTTTGCCATTTTATTTCGTTACCATTTATTGATTATTAACAAAATAAAATGACAAAACATTTAAAAAATACTAATAAAATGTTTCTACTCACCAACATAAATGTCCAGCATGGATCTCCTCCTCTCCTGCTCATTAGAAAATAAAATCCATCCTTCTTTCTTTCCTCAGGAAAACCTCAATGGCTCTGTACAGTTTATCTGTGCACTTCAGGTCCATGAGTGGATCCTTTTCTATGGACATGGATGCTAATGCTGAAAGACGTGTCTGCCCGGTCGTGTTTCTGGCATACGTTACGTGCTTTAATGCTACCAAATCCATCTGATGCGAGCAACAGGCATTCCCAGCAGAATAACCTGCAGCGGTTCTCTGAAGCTGTTAGCCATGGGTACCGTTCATAGTTGCTTGCCTGAAAATGACGAACAAATCCATTCCCCTGCTGGGACAAGCCAGCTAGCGTTGGAGTCAGACGACCTGTTCTCACAAGATCCATTTTTTCTTGAAAGGTCCGTCTTGAAAATGGTGTGGCAAGTAAATCTGCAACCAAGTCTGTCTCTTCTCCTCTTTCAGCCATCATGTGTTCAAAAATACACCGATAGCTGCCTATAGATACAAATCTCTGTGTTTAGTTTTGATATTTTGCTTCATGCCGCTAGAAAAGTTCTAACTACTGCTCATCCAATCACAGGATGCGTTCATGTCAACTTTTGCGTGAGGCCAGCTAGCTTGCCCGGGCCAAGCTGACTCGTGAGCTGATTGGCTATCGCAACTGGCTCGTCTCTGTTCACTTACAGCGGACAGCGGGCTTCTCGATTGATTCTGAAGGCCTAGAGCAGACTTAATCTGCCTGAAAACACAAGCTAGCTTAAATCTGATTGGATAACACCCAGCCTTGGTATTTTAACACTGGAAGCAGCACAGCCAAGTGGGTATAATAGGATATAAAGAAAATAGACCAGTAAACATTTTTTATTTAAAAATAATTACCAAAGGAAAAAAAAAATAAATTTATGCATTTGAGTATGTTTAGGCCAGAGAAGGCTTTGCTGGCCCTGACTGCCCACCACTGCCGTTAAATAGGCTTTTCATTGTCCACAAAAGGCTTGGGGGTAAAACAAAAAAAGCATAACCATTGGTGCCACCCATGCACAAAGTTGTGCCTCATCTGGGCCACCCCATTTTAATATCTGGACACGCCACTGTCCCGAACTGAACAAAGCATCAGAAAATGTACAAGGTCCACTCAAAGCTGGGCAGTATTGTCGTGTGTGAAAATAATTCTGACTAATGAGTTGAGTCACAAGGTGCGAGGCTTTGTCGGTTTTATTGGCTCTTTTGTATACGTTTAAATCTGCCTGCATTTCACAACTTTACCTGGGCTTTTACCTGACGTCATCATCATTCTGGCACATCACGACAGCTAGTGTCAGCTTTATCACATTTAGGGAAGTCATAGAAAATAGTTCGGTATGTTTAGATGTTTTAGGTAAAAAACAGAACTGTAGATTTTTTTACACTTCCGTCAGTCATTCGAAAGCCACCCAACACTGCAGCAGCTAACTGATGCTTCCCGCTGCTTCCATCATTTACTTATGATAAATGGTTTATTTGTGGAGCCACCAACCTGCGCCAGGACGAGCACGGTCACCGCTCGTTTTTGATAAGGCCCAAACTCTCCGACGACCTGGAAAGCTGCTTCAATGTCCATCCAAGCAGAGTGCGAGCGGATGCTAATGTGAGTTAGCATCGCCCCCAGCTAGCACCAAGAGAGGAGTGACCATCTTTTACTTCCGCTTTCGTCGCTTTGTTTTCCCCCGGCGGATTCAGTCAGTGACAGGCCAGAGTTCGTGAAGCAATGGTTGATTTATTCTGAATGCACTTTCCACAAGAGTAACAGTTAAAACATCACTAATAAATAGAATCGGGGTTTGTGATTGAGTGCTTTAAGGCGTTCTCTGAAACATCGCATTAAACAGAAACTATTTAGCCAATGGCACACCTTTCTATGTGAGGTGAACACAAGATCCTCAGTAAAATCAGGACCTGAATTAATAACATTGTTTTTGGACAAGTAGCTCAGAGCTATGCAGAAACCATAAGCCGTATTTTACTGGTGATTTCCCTAAAAGACTATCTTTGAGTACGTGGATATGAATATTATTTCAGGAGGCTACAAAGTCATTAAGGTTCTATGTCCCAGTGTCGCCTGAAGTTTGTCTTCAAAAATGGGATCATTTTAAAGTATAACTGAACCAAAACACTATGGTGGGAAAAACAAAAACAATACAGCAAAGACCTGATTTCTTTAGTCCATCGGTCAAGTTTTCAGGTAAAAAAAAAATCACAAAGAAGCAAAACAATTGATGCAAGAGTTAGGGATCGAGATCTGGGAGCAAAGGAAAACAAACCAGTGCAAAATATTAATGTGCATTTACACATCACAGCAGATTAGAAAATTTACAAAAAAAAATGGCACACAGTTGGATGTTATACATTTGAAAGGTTTTCATGTTGCAGCAAAGCAGCCATGCTTCATCCCCATGCAAGTCCTCCAGAGATGACTTCTAGAAGCTCCAGCAAACACACAGTCATGGTCCAGCATCTCCTCACCAGCACTGTCTCCATGCTGCAGTGCTTCATGGTTATGTTCACTCAGACAGCAACAGCACAGATGGTTCAGGTTTCACGTCCATTTAACTAGATTCATAACTTAAGAAGGTAGATCAGTAATTAAACAAACACCCATTTCATCACGAATCATGTCGCTAAGCAGACCTGAAAGGTTCTGACAAGACACTACCTGGACATTTAAAGTGGTCATATTCAGTTATTAGTTGCTGCATATGTTTTAAAGCTCTTCCCCCAGTCACAAGTCATTCAAGCAGGACCTGGAGGAATAGAGATCCTCTGGGTCCCTGTCCTGGTGTTACTGATCTTGATCATTGCTATTTGTTTCCACCCTCTTCACCGGGGACGGAATGATGGTCGTCTTTAAAACACTGTAAATATGGTTTGATTTTTTTCCTAAATGCGACTCCAAGAGTCGCACAGACAAAAACAAACACACCTACGATGATCCCAGCCACCACACCTCCATTAAGGCCGGGTGGCTTTTTGTTGAAGGGGTTTTCCAGCGGCTCACTCTGCTCCTGGCTGATCTTATTCTTGATGATGCAGGAAAACGTCTTGATTGCTTTGGTTTCCTCGTCGTTGGTGATGCTGAAGTTCTTTCCCGGCTGTTGTTTCCCTCCCAGGATCCAGAAGTACTCAACAGGCTCGACGTTGACAAGAGGTCCCGTCGGCTCGCAGCTCAGTTTACATTCAATAGAAGAGTCGCTGCACGTTAGAGGTCTCACGATGGCCTCGGGTTTAGGTACAGGCAGGACCTCTACAACGTTAAAGCCAACACTCTGGTCCTTACCGTTGATCTCCACCGTGAACAAGCCTTTGTCGTCCTTATTCATGGAGCTGACGGTCAGCACCCCGGTGGTTGAGTTGAGTTTGGAGCGACCCTTCAGAACCCCAAAATATTCAATGGCAGACCCAGCGTCGATCTTTTCAGCCACAAAATCTCCGTTACGCTTCCAGGTGATGCTAGTGATCGGCGTAGGGGGGTTAACAGGGCTGAGTACAAGCTCACGGCCAACACCGAACTGTACTTCCTGGATCGTGCCTTGAGCCAGAACCACCGTCAGCCCCACCAGCAGCACAAATACAACTGCCTCCATCTTCGTGGCCAATAATTGAGATTTTACCTCCAGGATATCGACTTTCATATCAGCAAATATTAACGATATTCGCAACGACCATGACCGCACCCTGCTAGCTTCCGTTTAGCTCAGAAGTAAAATGGAGACGGTGTTTGGAATCGTATGATGTCCAAGGAAGGTCCCGCCTTTCTTGCCTCTGATTGGCGGGAATGGCTCTCCAACGACGGGCTAATTCGAAAGGTGGACCCGTGTTCCCTTGCTGCTGTTTTATGTCCTTAGCTAGATCTTGAGTTGTTGTTTTGGAAGAAAATGTGAAGTCTGTACTATTTTGCAGTTTTAATCTATTTTATAACAGAACCCGAAAGACCTCAAAGGTAATACATTTTGTTGCATTTATCACACTTTCAAACTGACTTCATATCGGAAAACGTACTCAAAGCTGATTATGGTTTAGCTCTGTTTTCACCAGTTTTCATTACTCTAGAAGATTAATAAGACCTACTGCACACATTTGGGCAGTTTTTCATTTCACACCCAGGTAAAACAAAAGTGTTCATCCTACTTGCTTTAGTAAACCTCAATGCTTGACAGCCAAGTAAGACCAACCGTGTGATAAATGCAACAAGATTTATTGTAAGTTCACATTTTACGTTTTTCAGTTTAGTTAAATAAAAAAACTAGTTTGCAAAACAGGACAGAATGGTTATGATAGCGCTAAATTCTTATTTCCTTTACAAAACTCCCCAAAAAAGCTGTTCTGTGGGCGGCAGGAAAGTCTGCACCAATGCACTGAGGGAAGACGGTTTGCTGCTAATTGAAATAGCCAATCGTAGTAGAGCACTTCAAGCCAATAAGAGGCGAGAAAAGCGGGACTATCCTTGGACATCCTACGATTCCAAATGACACAAGACGCGAAATCTGCCATGACAGCGCCCCTAGCACACCGGTTGAAATAGGGCCTCTTTTAAAGAGGTGTGGTAGTCACTGCTTTGCAACTCACAAATAAGTCACAAGTCTTTCCAGTCAAGTGAGTCCAAGTCAAAGACGATCAAGTCCAAAGTCAAGGATGTGGAAGTCCTTCACTTTGAATTTTCAAGTCATAATCAAGTCATCTGTCCAACTTCAATTTAATGATGGTGATAATAAATTCCAGAAATAAAGCTTAATTTATTTGCTCAAACAAGCAGAAAGTGCAACTGAAATTGATTATAAACAAAGAGCTGCTGCATTTAGCAGTACAAGAGCAAATCCAGAACCAATAATAATTTAAGATTTTTGTCCATGTCGTGCCACTTTTGTGCTAAAATATCAAATATGCTTAAGTCAACAGATGCAAGTCAATTCAAGTCGCAAGTCATTGGCATTCAAGTCAGAGTCGTTGTAAGTCTTTATAGATTTTATAAAGTCAAAAGTTATTAAAATAACTCGAGTCCAAGTTATGTGACAAATGATCGGAGCTTTATGACATGGTGCATTATCATGCTGAAAGTAGCCATCAGAGGATGGGTTCATGGTGGTCATGAAAGGATAGACATGGTCAGAAACAATGCTCAGGTAGTCCGTGGCATTTAAACGATGCCCAATTGGCACTAAGGGGCCTAAAGTGTGCCAAGAAAACATCCCCCACACCATTACACCACCAGCCTGCACAGTGGTAACAATGCATGATAGATCCATGCTCTCATTCTGTTTCCACCAAATTCTGACTCTACCATTTGAATGTCTCAACTGAAATCGACTCGTCAGACCGGGCAACGTTTTTCCAGTCTTACAATGTCCACTTTTGGTGAGCTCGTGCAAATTGTAGCCTCTTTTTCCTATTTGTAGTGGAGACGAGTGGTACCCGGTGGGGTCTACTGCTGTTGTAGCCTATCCGCCTCAAGGTTCTGCGTGTTGTGGCTTCACAAATGCATTGCTGTGTTCCTCGGTTGGAACCAGTGGTTTTTTCAGTCAAAGTTGTTCTTCTGTCAGCTTGAATCAGTCGGCTCATTCTCCTCTGACCTCTAGCATCAACAAGGGATTTTTTCCCACAGGACTGCCGCATACTGGACGTTTTTCCCTTTTCACACCATTCATTGGAAACCCTAGAAATGGTTGTGGGTGAAAATCCCAGTAACTGAGCAGATTGTGAAATACTAGGACCGACCCGTCTGGCACCATCATCCATGCCATTCTCAAAACTGCTCACCTGTTTCCCATTCTGACATTCAGTTTGGAGTTCAGGAGATTGTCTTGATGAGGATCACATCCCTAAATGCATTGAAGCAGCTGTCATGTGATTGGTTGATTAGATAATTGCATTAAGGAGAAGTTGAACAGGTGTTTCTAATAATCCTTTAGGTGAGTGTAGACATACATACATATATACACACATTTTTTCTGATTCAGAGATAAACACACACATATATATATCTTTATAGGTTTGCATGTATATATATTCAGGTGTTCATCTCTGAATAAGAACTGAATGAACTTTGGTACTTCACAGTAAGTGTCAAATACACATGCAAAACTTTGCGCAATAATTTATCTACCGTTTTAGGAAAAACAACAAAAAAATATTTTCAAACACTTCAGACATTTGAGACTTTTTGTTAAGGCTTTTCATGAAAGCTTCTTTTGAGTTTGCAGAGGTAGCAAACACAGGATATCTGCAGGTTTAAGGGAGCCAAATTTAAGACCTTTTTTAAGGCCACTTTGACCAAATTTAAGCTACTTTTGAAATTAAATTTAAGCTATAATTAACAGTTATTGCCTGGAACCGGTGCTAACCACATTGCAAAAGTGGGATTAACCATCCAGTTACCATCAAACTTGCACTTCCCCATGGCGCAAGCTACCACTAGCTTAACCAGCTAATGTGCTCATCTAAAAATAGTCCCCTTTCACAACCAACTGAATGTGTACAGTTCTGCTTACGCGAACATCATACACAAAAAAATGCTGAATACCAACTAGAAATTCACAAAATTTAATAGAAACAAAATGATTTAGTTTATTGGGTCTTTGGTAATTTAAGACCTTTGGAAACTGTATTTAAGGATTTGTCATTTTTAAGGCCTTAAATTTGGAAAAGCAAGTTTAAGACTTTTTAAGGACCCGCGGATACCCTGCAAACAGGTTACACCGTGGTCAATAAAATTTCACGGTTCTCTAAAATGACGCACAGAACCTTTGGCTACAATATAAGAACAAATATCGTCGTACGTTACTTTGAAGTTATGCTTGGGCGGGTGTTACTGTATTTTTTCTGGTAAGTATCACCCAACATAGTTTAACGTAATGCCCTATGTAGTTCAACAGCGACACATATTTGCATCACAAATACTGTTTAATAAAATATTAGCATAAATATTTGGGAAAATAATGTATGGTCCTCAATCAAATAAAACTGACAAAGTGTAAACCATAACGTTAAAGTTACTGAGTTTTTGTTCAAGTGCTTTAACTGGATCAAATCAGTTTTAAAACATTCTTACATCCTTTCTAAAGCTGGTGTGTTCCTGTAAAATTCAGTCCTTGAGACACAGGCATAAAAAAAGAAAATCAGAAAACAATTTTATTTAGAATTTTGCAGAAGCTAGCGGTTCTGCTAAAACATTTAAATTTATACACCCACTTTTAAAACTACTGAGAAAAGTACAAAACAAGCATAAATGCCTTTATTGGAGTTGAAAGCATAAAATGCTGAGAAAGTCAGCTGAAATAGGACAGATGAGAGAACATTCAAAACAGAAATCAGACCGTGGGAAAGTAGTTAAAACTTTAGTTGATACAGTGGAGCGGGGCTCGAGTTTTCTGAGGAGTCGTTTGCAGAGAGTCGTTGTTTTCTGACACTTTAGACCTGGTGGGGATCTTTGTCATCTTGCCTTTTTTCTGCTGGAAAAGTAAAAAAACAAACAAAAAATAAATAAAAACCTTTAATATGAAACAAAGCTGACATAAACCAGAGCATAACAACACCAAGTTCTCCTCACAGCCAGTGTTGCCAACTGTTTTTGACTGAAAGTAGCTGAAGTTCCCCCAAAAAGTCACTAGATGTCGCCAGATGACGTCACGTGCTTATTTACATATTGATGACGTCATCACGCCACATTAGCGTTCGTTTTCCCTATGGCATCTATTATATATATATATATATATATATATATATATATATATATATATATCTATTATATATATATATATATATATATCTATTATATATATATATATATATCTATATATATATATATATATATATATATATATATCTATTATATATATATATATATATATATATATATATCTATTATATATATATATATATATATATATATCTATTATATATATATATATATATATTATATATATATATATATATATATAATAGGACTAAAAGGGAGGAAAATAAATACTATGTTATATGTTAAAGTTATTAATTAGTATGATTAAAATGGCCCAAATTGCTTTGATATGTACAATAAATTCCAAAACTACCAATAAAGTGGCATTAAAACAGATATGGTGTGGTGATCCAAACAGTTCTGTTGTAGGATATTACTCAGACCTCCTGCTCTCCTCATTCTCACAGACATTTTCCTAAAAAGCTGTTTTTTTACACCTCATAGTTTCTCAACTTCTCTGTTGTGTATTCTCTCCATCGTGATAATAACGGCGCTCCGAGCAAAAGGGAGCGGGTGTCTCATAGTATAACCATCCCTGTGTCACTGAAGGAAATTCAGATGAGCCACAGAGCTGCGTGTGTAAACGGGACGGTAGTTGAAACTCCCGATGACTTTATTTGCCAAATGCAGGAAAAGCCAAAGTGTCTGACGGCTGCAGAACCAGAGATGGCAGGTTGACGCCCACGCCGTCTCTAGTAGAAGCGTGAGCCTGCAGCAATATGAAAGCAGCAGACGTAAATCGGCGGTCTCCAGCTCTGCAGCTTCAGCGAATCAGACCGGCCGAAAACGGTTTATGATTGGTCAGTCCTCGTGCACATGCGCAGATTATCGTTCTCTTTCCTTACTCCCGGAAGAACGGTTCAGAGTGCAAACGGTTTCTTTGTTGCTAATCTGTAGGGAATATCTACATGAAAGTTCTACAGAAAGTAGCAACGGGTCCTGAGAAATGTCGCTAAGTTTGTCGCTAGGCGCTTTTTGGAAAAAAAGTCATTGAGGGGGGTCAAAAAGTCGTTAGGAACAGTGACAAAGTCGCCGAGTTGGCAACACTGCTCACAGCTCACCTTAAAGAAAGGAACCCGTTTGCTCTCGTTGAACACCAGGTTCTCATCGAAGGACAGCTCTGTGGCCAAACTCTCGTTGCTTTTACTCGTCTCCTCTTCCAGAGAATCCTGGGAAAAGGAGGACGGAGAATTAGAACATTCCTCCCTAGCAGCAACATCACTTACAGTGGAATGCCAAAGTTTAAGCAGCCTTGTTAATCTTCATGATTTTCCTGTATAAATCGTTGTTTGTTACGATAAAACACTTCAGTTAAATCAGAATCAGAATAGGTTTATTGCCATTGTCAGTGAACAAACAATTCAAAAACTTGCTTCGGTACTATTGTGCTACATATAACATGAATAATGATATATATATATATATATATATATATATATATATATATATATATATAAAACAGGTGATGTCTGAGGAGTGCACAACCAGTTGAACGTTGCAAATCTGCATACATATTTTCATTATTTTATGACATTTATTGATATGGGAAAAATCATCTTGATAAGAGTCAGAAATTTCAATAATACATTTTTGATTTGTTGCCCAGCCCTAGTAGAAGCTAACGGTTAGCATTAGCAACCTTACCACACAGCTGAACTTCTCCAGGCTTGTGTTATTTTCATCTTGAGAGGCTCTAATTAAGATTGTTTTCTTTCTTTTTATTTGTGGAGGTAAAACAAATATTGCAAATCATTAGTAGAGCGAATTTTTCTAAGCAAATTATCAGAAAAGGAACAATGGATCTTTCAGGGTTCAAAACCTTTATAGAATGTAATCATGCCTTTTACAGGGTATATACAGCAATCCTTAAGTAAAATTTACTACTTTTTAATACTTTTTTTTACTACATTCAGAATTTTTTTAAAACTATCACAACACTTAATTGCAAGTGTTAATCAGCGACCTATTTACACATATTTTAACATATATAACATACAAAAAGAATAGACTTAGAGACTCACTGATGTTGACAACGTATTGCACATATTTATTTTACTTAGAAAATAAGCCAGGCACTTCTGTTCAGCGGTCCAGACAGTTGACCACGAGGCCTGAAATGATGCAGAACGACCACTGAATATGACGTCATCATTATGTGACCGGATATGCTAAAGTAGGGCTGCTCGATTATGGCAAAAACAATAATCACGATTATTGTGACTGAAATTGAGATCTCGATTTTTTAAGACGATTTTTCAATTTATGTAGATTTTTGTTTTTGTTTTTATTCAGTCATAAAACTGCTCAGGGCACAATCAGGGCAAAAATAAACAAGAAGCAAGATGATCACTAAAATAACTCCCGATTCCCAGTATAAAAAGACCAATATACTTGTGGCAAGGTGGATAAACGAGAGCCCAGGCAGGATTCGATCCCCAGACTCCCAGGTGAGAGTCATACTCTCTAACCAGTCAGCCAAAGAGACATCCCCTTGGCCAAGTAGCCAGGACGCATGATCTATTGGGACACTGTGACAGGACACTCACACTGTCACATACTTATAGCTCATAGTTTATGATCCAAGGGCTATAGACCTTGGTTTAACTCATTTAAGTCTAACCAGTACAGACCCAAATACCAATATCTTGCAAATACTGACAACAAGAATTATACAGTGGCATTTATAACAAATACATGCAAATTGATGTTCACAAAATTTTGCATAACATTTATTGAGTCCTGTCAAGGTGCTCTAGGAGCGTGCACTAGCACCGTGTCCTCAGAGAGATTAGTTATTAGTTATCAGCGTGAGGAACTCATTTCTACCTTATTTATAAACTATTTATTTACAAGTCGTCCATCAGTTAATGTAATAATTGTCACAACCACAGCTGCACCCCCCACCCCCCAACCCGGTCTCACAGCTATCAGGGGCAAGCTGCACGCGCACGCGCACATTTAGCCGTTTTTAGCGGCTCAGGAGTCCGCAGGTACGGTGTGTGTGTCACTCACTCTGGTTACTCCAACAAGAAGCCGGCTCCAAGAGCTGTCTTTAGCGACTGACACATCACTACATCATTCCCTTTCCCAATGTCCTGAAGAACGGTCCGCAGCGCAGGCGGAGTGTTTAGCTAACCTGCAGGAAATGTCGACGACAGTTATCCAGAAAGTAGCTAAGGGTTACCAGAGATGTTTCTGAGGTGTTCGCTAGGTACTTTTAAGATTTAAAAAGTCAAGAAGGGGGTCTGAGAAGCTGTTGGAAATAGCGTCAAAGTCGCCAAGTTGGCAACACTGGGAGGAGCGCTTCATTTGCAACTCAGGGCAGCGCAAGTGGGAGGAGCAAATAATCGGCTTGTTTTGTTTTTATAATCGTTCATAACATTTCATTCGGAATATATTTCTATGTCGATGTTGAGAATACGACACCTGATAGTCTGAAAAAATTAATACCTAATTTGGAAAAAATATTACCTCTGTGACCAAATTTAACACTTTTAATGGCCTTAAATTTGACTATTTTTATTTATCACTTTTTAATACTTTTTAAAACCCCGCGGACACCCTGTTTTAACAATTTAAAGAATGTGTGTGTGATTTATATATGTTAATACAGATGTGAAATCAATTTATGTACAATAATCACGAAACCGTGAATACTTCTCAGACTATAACCACACCAGCAAAATCTAAAATCGTTGCAACCCTACTGTCAGCTGAGCTCAGCTCCAGTACATGTATTTTTTAAATGACACTGACAAAAATAGCTGAAGATACTTCAGAATTAACTTTATTGTCAAGTACGTGAGTGAGACTCAATTTACCAGGAATTTGGTTTGGTGTTTGTAATTGTGTTTCAACTATATGCACTACTGGTGTTTTTCAGGGTGTTTAAGTATTTGTAAGAACTACTTTTGGTTTTTAGAGATTGTAACACATTTTTTATGGTGGTTTCCAGAATATCTAAACATAGATGGGAGGCAGATCTTTTAGCTATCAGGCTCCTCTTGTGGAACCAATTCCCAGCTTTAGTCTGTGAGGCAGACACCTTGTCTTCTTTTAAGACTAGGCTTAAAACATTTTTAATTCATAGGGCCTATGGTTAAATTCTGATGTCAGCCCAGATCTGGACTAGTGAGCAGTCAGAGCTAGCACTAGCAGCTAACTCTAGGAAAGGCCTCCGCCTGGGCCTTACGTTAAAAGTTGTTTAGCCATTTCCACTCTAAACTCACTGTAGTTGTGTCCTCTGTGTGTTCGTGTTTGGATGTTAATCATGGATGTATTTCGACAAAGATGGTATTGATTGAGCTAAGAGATCATCCAAGAAGCATCTGCTTCATTTTTATTAGGGATGCTCTGATCAGATCATGTGATTTTAAAAGGATTGGAATCAGGTGAAAAAGATTGGATATAACATTATAAAAACAACAAATGAGACTTTAAATTCATCCTGAGATAGATTTTGAAACAGAACAACAATGGCTTAGTCACAAGTTCCTCTACATCAGAGAGAGCGAGCGAGAAATAAAACTATTCTTGCCAATATTATTTTTGATTGGGGTTAAATATTGTCTGCATTTATGTTAAACTCTGAACTCAACTTCAGAATTTAATAAAAATATTTTTATAAAAGACAAGACGAGCCTTGGCAAACACCTGTAATGGTTGAAAGGAGGTAAATCTGCTAAGAAAATCGTGGTATTCAGTGGTGACTGTGTTTGATTTGATGAACTTTAAGCTTCCAGCTCTGTGAGATGTTGGAAAAAACTGTTGTCAAACTCTCTATGAGTGATGCTTACAGAGCATCCAAGCAAGTTTCAGCATCCCGTTTCTGTGACTGTTCAAATGAAACATGAAATGCTACAACAAAGATAGTGTGTGATCAAAATGAATTCCCTCTCCTGTCTCTGAAAACTAATTCTTATAAAGAACAAATGAAACCCGACAGAAGACACCCCCGCATCGGGACGGGGCTGAGCCAATTGGAAAAGAGGTTTTAGGCTCCCTATGATTGCAGGGCCATAAAACGGCTGTTAAATTGGCTCAAAACACACACACACGAAATGAGTAAGTGTTTGATTAGACCAACAACCCTTTAGAGTAGCGGTGCCCAATCCTGGTCCCGGAGGGCCGGTATCCAGCAGGTTTTAGTTTTAACCATTCTTCAACACACATGATTTCAATTGGCAGGTGATCAGCAGGCTTCTGCAGAGCCTGATGAGCTGCTGCACAGGTGATGCAACCAATCAATCAAGTGTTAGAGCAGAGAAACTGCAAAACCTGCTGGATACTGGTAGCCTGGCAAGCCAGACTAAATAAATGTATTATTTAGTCTGGCAACGCTCCATTGACGGCTCTCGGTTGTGGGGCGGGTTCTACCGTTCTTTCAAATGATCTCCGCATTCCACTGGACAATGAATGTGACTTATTCTTGTTTCACTCTGTTGCATCATCCCACCCACCAGGCATATAGAGTGCTCTGATTGGCCCACAAAGCAGATAAAGCTCTGTGATTTGTTCACTAAGCAGATAGAGCACTATGATTGGCCCACCATTATGGACCAATCACAGCTCTTTATGTGTTTGAAACCCCCTCTAGAGTGCTGTGATTGGCTAGTCAGAGTCCTGGTAGGAGCTGCTGAGGTTCCAATGGAGCATGCCTAGACCAAACTTTGCAAACAAGAATTTGGTCTAGTTCATTAGGCTAGGATACTGGCCTTCCAGGACCAGGATTGGGCACTCCTGCTTTAGAGGAAACAGGGTACATACAGGCTCTGGCTGACTCTGTTTGTCGTCTTCCTCCTCCTCCTTCTCCTCCTCCAGAGCAGCCTGGAGCTCCTCCTGCTGCCTCCTCAGAATCTCCAGCAGCTCGTTGCGGCTGCGAGACTTGTCCAGCTTCCGTGGATACTCAAACTCCCGACGCTGAGGAGTCGTGCCTGAAGGCAACAGTAGGGTAGGAGATGATGTGAGATATCACATCTATTGTCCAGCAAGGCAGCCTAAAGACAGATGGCTCACCGGTGGGGATGTCTTGCTGCAGCTCACTCTGCAGGAATTTGCGGACCAGTTGCTGGTTCGCCTCCACGTGGTCCTCCAGCTCCGCCTGCTGCTGCTCCAGAATGGTCTGGTCCATAGAGGTCTGATTCTGTATGGCCAACAGAGCCTGCTTCACCTCCTCCCGGTGACCTGACAACTCCTTCTCTGCTGTCTGAAGCTGGTTGGTGCAGCAAGTATCAACATCCTTAAAAGATCACAACGGTCACGTTTGTTTAATGTTTCAGGACTCAATGAGTTATAACTCCCTCGTTTTGGAGCCAGATTTCCGCGCTTGCCCCAAAACCCAAGAACAACCTCAGCATTTCTTAATCCCTGCTCAGAGATCTTATATTTTACCGATTACTAGATCAAATTCTCCCTCAGATAACAAACAAACCTTTTTAGAACCAGCTGTCTGAATCTGATCCATTCAGCTGTTATGTCTACCTGATTGATGCTCGCGGCTTCAGCAGAAACCTTCTCCATCACAGACAGATGTTCCTGGGTCTGGCGCTCAGTGTGATCCCTGACACCGAGGTTCCATCGGAGGTCTCGATCCACCAGACCTGCAGAAACGTGCGTGTTAACAGGATCTAGGACTTGCTGCAGATTCATGTTAGAGGCAGGACTAATGAAGCAGTTTGGTACCAGAAATGGAGCTGTGGAGGTCGGCGCAGTAACCCTTCATCTCCTCCACATGCTGCTGGGTCTGATGCAGACTAGAGGCAAGGGTGGAGGAGGTTGTGAGGTGGAGGTCCGCTTGAGCTGTTGCCTGATCCTTCATTGAGCTGCAGCCGCTGCAGAAACAGAACATGGCTGTTAATTGGAGCTCATCGGCTGTTGATGTTGATAGTAGGGATGCACCGAAATGAAAATTGTTGGCCGAAACTGAAACACCTAAAGGAATTATGTCAACTAGATTGCGTGCCGGTGCATTTGCATGGATTATACAAAGGGGCATGGCAAGTCCCCTTTCATTAGGGCTGGACTAAGAGCTGGGGCTGAAACTTGCAAGCAGCACAACAGCGGTGGCATGTACATTTAGGAAGGCACTCGAGATGGAGGTGTTTAAAAACAGCGTTTAAGGAAGTATATAATTCAATGGCCATTGATTCGTTGATGTAGTTATTGAACTCAGTTCTGAAAAATCTCTGTGTACACCAAGCTGTCAATGATGCTCGTCACACACACACACACACACACACACACACACACACACACACACACACACACACACACACACACACACACACACACACACACACACACACACACACACACACACACACACACACACACACACACACACACACACACACACACACACACACACACACACACACACACACTCTGCGTTTCTTCTGCGCAGCAGGGACATTTAACCCGCTCAGAATCCTGCTGCAGCACAGCAAATGTTTTAAAAAGGTAATCCAAGGACGTTCTATATTGCATTCGGCCACTTCTGCCTTTGATTTTGTTGTTTTGTACTTCTAACATTGGCGCTAAATTAAAGGCGTGTTAGCTAAAAGTTTGCTAACGATCGTCCTATTGTTAAGCTATGTCAGTGTTTATGCCCGTAAACTCACTTATTTTACGTCGCGTATTGATAGCAGGCCAGTTTGTCTGTTTTTGCCACCCAGCCGCTCGCGCGTGCACACAGAGATGAAAAAAGCAGTTAACAAAGATCCTCCTATGGACCTGAATGGGTCCATTCAAAATAAGACCGGCTCAAATTAACCCTTTGGGCATTTTTTTCAAGAAAATATTCAATTTTGACATGACTATTTCAAAATGTTGTAGCTTTGACATGGTTAGAGATAAAGCTCAACTGTAAATGTGAAAAATCTTTAGCAGGACAAAAGTTGGCACAAATTCACTCATCAAATTTGCATATTATAACATCATCAGGCTGTGGTATTGGAAGGGATCATTTTTACAGATGTTCTTTCTTATTTTAAATTTTTCATTATATTTTGACATTTTTAATTTATATGCACCTACATAATTTAAGCTCCTTTGAAATCTTAATTTCATTGTTTAGCTTTTAAATTGTATTTTTTTAATATTTATATCAATCAAACTTTATTTATAAATCGCTTTTCCTACAAAAAGTGCAACTCAAAGTGCTTTTCAGATTAAAGTGACCCTACATAACCCCCCATTGCTATCCCTCCCACACCAATAACAAGCACTCTACCCCCCCACCCCAACACACATCCATTTAAGAACATCAGTAAAAATGATTTTGGGCCCAGTTCAGATGACCCAGATATTGTAGTGCAAGGAAACGCCATCACAGGGGCCATCTGCCCAGGTAGCTGCTGCCCAACTGAAGCACCAGCACCGGGTGCAAAGGGAGGGCATAGGCCCCACCTCCACCCAAACACTACCTGGAGAGTACCCAGGTAGCAACAGTTGACCACTGCCCCTGAGGCAGAGGGCCCCCACAGGGGAAACACTGGAAGAGTTTAATATAGGACAAAATATAAAATAACAGGAGCTAATAAAATAGTACATGTAATTAAATAAATAATTTAGTTAAATGTAATGAATTTTAAAATGATATCAATGTACAATAAAATAGTGATCAAATGTAATCAATTCAAATATGCAAAGTAAAGAATCTACTAAAATAATAAAGGCTGAGCTAAAAAGTTGGTAATTAATAATTAATTAAAATGTAAGAAATACTAAAATAATATAAATATAGAATAAAACTGATCAAATGTAATTAATTAAAATATGCATGCAAAGCAAGTAATCTACTATAATTAATATGAATCAGTTAAAAGCTAAGCTACAGGTGGGTCTTGAGCTTGCTCTTACAAACATGAATATTCTCCGCGGGCCTGAGGTCCTCCGGAAGCCTGTTCCAGAGGCAAGGGCCATAATACCGAAAAGACAAATAAAACCTAAATTACTGGCAGGTATTTGTTCTCTTCGTGCTGCGCTAGTCTTCTCCTCTCCCCAACCAGGAACCTCTCGACGGGAGGCAGTATTCAACCCCCAAAAACTCCAAAACGTTCACTATAAACACACCTATAAGTGTAGCTCAGCCTGAAGTTACACATCTCCACCATCTTCTGGTGTAAAGTAGTAACAACATGAGGGATCATATTTGTGGCTGTGGCTCATTAAAGTCAGCAATGACAGTTGGCGCTCCAAGGGTTAAGCTCTGGTGCTAACGACCAGCTGCACCTCCGCGCTGTGAACCTGTTCCCGGCTTCAAGAAATCACATAAGCAACGTTACTTACGAAGCTAACAGCCCAGACCAAGCCATCTGAGACCTGTGGCTTAGGATCTGCAAGGCAGCGGAGTGGACATAACGTCACCATGGCAACGCTTCCGGCCTCGGAGCCAACCACGTTTATTTTATTATATAGATTCGAGCCATAACAATTTGACTGTAAAATGAACCTTTTAAGCACCAAAGCTGCAATTTTGCGCTTAACAATCCACAGCTGCAAATATAATCCCTCATGAACTTCAATCTGAGCAACACTTTTGGGTGTTTCTATTGAGATTTATGGAGTTTAGAGTTTGGAAAACTGCCCCAGAGACTCCCAACTGAGGAGAGGAGATGAGAGGAGCTCAGAGGGTGACTATTATTATATGATGACACTGACAGGTGGGTTCATTGTTGACAAAGCTCGTTGTTTGCTAATGGCTGACTGATTCTGAAGAGGAATATTCAACCTCTGAATAAAATATTAACTCGTCCAGTGAAGAACAAGTTGACGCTGCTGTGCAGCACCAACAGAGCCTGTGTGCTTCATGAGAGTAAACACGATTCACACACACACAATCCAAAGCTTATTTAACCGTTCTCAGGACATGGTGGGTGTAGAAAGGATGGTACGTAGTGGGAGCGTAAACGCAAGCCGGGCAGGTGCGGTGGATGTGAAACTGAAAGTAAAAAGTGCGTCACATAATTGATTTGAATCTTCCGGCGACGGTAATAAAACAGCACGACTAAAGGGGAAAAGTGCTCCCTTTGAAGTCGGTACGAATGTACCATGTTCACGAAGCAAAGAGCAAGTAGCCACATGAGGGCAGAGCGAGGTGAAACGAAAACGGGGTTCTCCTGACAAACTGTTTCAGCTGTGTCGTTTCGGTGATTAAGGCGTTTCGGCCAAAAATTGAAAATGGCCTTTGGGCCAAAAATTATCGGTGCATCCCTAGTTGATGGGCATAAGACTGAGACGCTCAGACCTGCATATGCTCTCCTGGAGGCTCAGAGCAGGAGCCTTCAGAGCTTCGGAGGCTGATCTCAGGTCAGCGTAGTCCTGCTGGCTCTGCAAGCTCAACAGGTTGAGCTGGTCCTGCAGGCACTGGATGGTCCGTTGCATACCCTGGAGAGGAGGTCACTCAGATTTATACCAATAAAGAAGTCATCCAGGCTTGTTTAGGAGAATAAACTTCACATGTCAGCAGGATGGTTAGACACTTACAGAGCTCTGAAGCCAACAGATCAAGGGGGTTGAATCTTACCAGCCGTTGTCTCTCCTGTGCCTGACTGATCCTGTCCTCCAGCTTGTCCTGTTCGTCCTGCAGGGAGCTCAGTCTGTGGACGGCCTCCTCTCGAAGACTGTCCAGGTCCTGATGCAAACTGTTGAAAAACAGACCCACAGACTCCTCCACCTGAAACAAGATGGGAAAACATACTCAGGTCTGCCCACACCTGAGCTAAAACTCTGCCTCATTTGTGAGGACAGGCAGGTCTGGACTCACCTTGTCAGCCAGAGCTCGCTGCTTCTCCACGGAGGACCTCAGAACATCACTCAGCTCGTTGACAGCAGATAAACCCATCAGAGTCCGAGCAGCCAGGACATCCTCCATGTCCTGCTGATGCTCCTCCTAAAAAAGTTCATTAAATGATCCTCAATAAGGAAAAGAACAGCAATAAAAACAGTGAATGCCTGGAGAAACGCTGAAGGGGCGTCGACTCCTGAAGAAACAAATTCAACTCAATAGAAAGTTGGAGAGTCTGTCAGCAGGTTAGCGCACACACACACACACACACACCAGTGTTTCTTGTGCATAGGCTTTACCGTGGCGCTGCACCATGCCTACAAAGAAGCAGGAGGAACCACTCTGTTGTTGCATATGAACACAGCACACAGGCAGCAAGGGAAAGCTGCACACAGACTTGTTGCTTTTTGATCTACTTGCTTCAAAAGGTCTAAAACAGGGGTCTCCAACATGTCGCTCGCGAGCTACCAGTAGCTCCTGACGCATTTGAAAGATGCTCGCCTGGAAGCTTAGTAGCCAGTAAGCCATCCCGCTTGACTTAATGATGGCCTAATGAGCTTTAAAATGAGATGACACGCAGTCACCGTTTTCTGTAATATGTCAAATTTTTTTTATTTTTGTGGACGTAAAATATAAATCTGATTATTGCAGAAATGTTTCCGTGTCGTTCAGTGTTCAAGTCTGTACTTGGGGAAACACGCGAATTAATTGCTTGGGTTGCACCACAGATCTTTGTTTCTCCCCAGAAGAAGCTACAGTGATGTTCTGCTGAGCTATGGTGGCCTCATGGAGGGGGCCATCGACTAGCACACTGTTGCTAACCACTTAAACATTCTCCCTCTCCTGATAACATTTTACTTTCTTTGACAATGCGTTACTACTAGTTTACCCATTTAATTATAGATTTTATTAACATCTTGTTCATTCAACCATTTGATTAATTAACTTATAAGTTGTAAAGCCTTGTAGGATTTGTGTGGATTTGCTTTTTTATTCAGAGTGAGGAATCCAGCGGTCTGACTTTTAAGCAGAGAGAGAAGGACTTTTGCAGGAGACCATGACAGTTTATATATGTCTGCATTGAAGAACAATAAGTAAGCAAAGGGTTGATTTGATTGTGTGTTTGTGTGGGCTGGTGTGTGTGTGTGTGTGTGTGTGTGTGTGTGTGTGTGTGTGTGCGTCTGCTCTGTCTTCTCGATCCCCAGTGAGTCGTGGTGGATGGCTGCTTATACGGAGCCAGGATCCTCTGGAGGTTTCTTCCTGTTAAAAGGGAGTTTTCCTCTCCACTGTCCCTAAATGCTTGCTTAGCATGAGGATTGCTGTAAAGACACTGATACTAGTCAGTGACTTGATGCAATTTTCTGGGTTCCTTATGAAGGAAACTTTTTTATGTGAAGTGCCTCTCCACTGTCGCTGAAACCGCCTCCCCCCCACCCCCTCCCCACTCCTTAGACAAAATAAACATTTCTCATATTTCTTGCTTGTTTAAAGACTCAAAGTTAAAACCTTTGTAGATTTTAAAGCATACAAGTATAACTATACCACGTTTAATTCATCCGCACTCTGCTCGCCTACATCCTTTTCCACAGTTGTCCTTATTTGAGCGAGGAACATAGTTATGGGTTTGTGTTGTTTTTCTATGGAGAACATTTTTATAAACAGACGTGCTAAATTTGGCAAGCGCGGGATACACGACACGGTGGAGATTCATAATTGTATCTAGTCAGTCAGCGGTAGGACACAATGAACGTTAGTACGCTACAAAGATGCAGCGTAAAATTGTACAACAAACTCAGCAAAACAGCAAAGTCACAATAAGTGATCCGCGTTATAGTGAGGGACTGCTGTATTTCGTGTTTATTTTCTAACTAGGTATAAGTTACCTACTGGGCTGGCTCTTCCGCTGCATCAACTTTCAAAAGTTTTCATCTCAGATTTTCATTTAGAGAAGTCGTGCTTCTGTGCCATGCTAGATCCTTTCTGTATATTTAGCAGATCACCCGTCTTTTCACAGCATCTAGAGTGAAGCACTCTCAACCTTTAGATGTTTCTGTTCAGGATTTCTTCTTCTTCAGGTTTATCATTTCTGTTTCTTGGTCTGCTATTTTCCTCAGTGTGAGCATGGCATCAGCCTTGTGCGTGGTACGTCACGAAGAACAAAGGGTACTATTGGCCGATTTCTTCTTCTGCTGCTTCACTGGTAGATTAGTGGCTCATTACTGCCACACACTAGCCGTAAATTTAACAGACTGTAAACGATGTAACAGTTGTTTTAAAAAATAGACCGCTTATGGAAAACATGATTATAAAACAACTAATCGATGACTAAATAAGTTGTCTACCATTTTAATAATCGATTAAACTGATTAGTTGTTTGAGTTCTAATTGATTTGAAGAAAACAATTAAATAATAAATGCATCAACATAAATTATTCTTAATCGTAGAAGAAGCATGCCATAATCGATTATAGTGGAATTAGGGCTGGGCAATAAAACGAAAATGTATCGTTCTAGAGGTGAAATCCTCAATCAATCATGATATTGATTTTAGGCCATATTGCTCAGCCTTAAGTGGAATACATTTAGCTTTTTTAACCACGCCATCGGCGTGCCATCAACATTTTTCAGAGAGAGACGTGTCCTCCATATTTAGAGCAGGAAATACCGGCCCGCCATTATGTAGCGCTGAGCGCTGCAGGTCTAACCAGAGACAGAACCCGAACCGAGTCAACCTGACGGGTTGATTTAAAGAAAGCCTGTTATGAATGATCATGAGGGCCTCACCAGCAGCTGCAGCAGACTCTCCTTGTCCTGCAGACACACCGATTCATGCTGCTGGAGCTTCTCCCGACAGCGAGCCACGCCCTCAGCCACCACCGACCTGACTCCGCCTACAAGTGACTCCATGGTGGTGACGGTGCTTTTCAGCGCCACCTCATTCATCATGAGCAGACCGTCTGTAGGTGGGAGGAACAGAGTGGGTAGGGGTTACTCAGGGTCCCCGATGACAGTTCTGGGTCAAAGGTTAAATATTAAAATAAACCTGAGGAATAATTAAACTGAAACATGATTCGTTTCATCAACTAAAAACGAGCTCAGAAACATCAAAACAGGACTGACCTGAAAAGTAATGTTGCTTAAATATGAATTTGTTCCCAAACTGGGAACACTGGTTTTGTCCAACTATAAGCCAACAGGTGCTTCATTCTAATCAGACTCAGAGCTAAGCAAACAAAACTTTTGATCTGAGTGGAGTAGCTGAATGGACCACATGAACAGACGTTTATGTCTGAACACCAGTCGTACGTGCAGACCCATGAGCACCCTTGGTGCTTTGATCGTACCAACAGCCTGTGAGCAGCTGCTGAGCAGCTCGTTGTGTTTGGCTCCGTGACGGTGGACGCAGCGTTGCATGCTGCTCAAGGCTCCATCCATCCGCTCAGCAAAGCTTTGCTGCATCTCTTTGTTGTGATTCTCCACCTGCAAGTCAACACAAGTTTATTAGTCCGGCTGAAACATCAAGCACTGAGTCTAACAACCAATATGAGGAACTTCTCTCGTATTTTAATACACGTGCAATGGTCATCTAGTGGAAATAGATGCCTTCTAAGTCAAACTCTATGGAAAAAAGCTCAGATGCCCGTTTCAGCATGGACGATTCAGCCTGAGGAGAAAGTAGCGTCAGACGGCAGGATTTAGAAATTTATTTCCTAATATTTGGACATCTCATCTCCGATTGGGTAACAGCAACACGACCGTACCACTGACTCCGTTAGCTTTGCAACATGCACGTTTCATTCCCACAAATACAAGCCTGGAGTTCTGCTGTGTGGTGGAGTTGCTAATGCTAACGGTTAGCATAAAGTAGTTGGGACGTTCTCTGCCATTTCCTGGTCGCTAAACCAACAGCAGCCTTCCCTGTCGTAATCAAGATGGGTGAGTCCATGAATGTTAAGTGACAGTGTGACGTAGATCTGTCAGGATTTTCTAATCCTAGTTTCATCGTCTACTTTCTGTCAGAAGCTAATGCAGGAGACAGATGTAGGAGACTATTTTCATGTTCAGCCTGCATGAAAAACTCAAGAGTATAATCAGAATTGATTAAAGCAGTTTTTTTTTTCAGTAAAAGGACCTCTTCAAAAAGTTGAAAGTCATGTGTGTGTGTGTGTGTGTGGTGGTTGGGGGGGGGGGGGGGGGGGGGGGGTTAGATCTGATCAAGAAGCTCGTTCTCAAAAGAAATGTTTGAGCTGTTTGGAAATATTTTGGGTTCAGAAGGGACAAAGCTTTTGAAAAAGTAATTTTACTTTCCTTTTTTCAGATGTGCTAATACATCTTAAAGACAAATTCTTATTTTTACCGTTTTAAGTAGAGAATAAAGCAACAAACAGGTTGTGGGGGAAATTAATAACACTAGCAGTGGAGCAATTATGCTGCCAAAGCCACATCTAGTGGCCCACTTTGGGCATTTACCGTCCAGGTGAACGCCCTGCCCTCGGGTTTAATACTGCTCTATGGTGGACGGTTCTAGTCTGGAGGTAATTTAGAATCGGTGGTTCTTTCCAGAGGAATGTTTTTAATGTTCTCCCTCATCCTGAAAATACCACAAGCGAGGAGGGACATCAGACAGAACCAGTTGCTTTTCCCCATGAAGATTTGGCTTTTTTTGATTAGATATTTTTACAACATGACCTCTGAACGTGACAATACAACCAATTATAAATTCTCTTCATCGTGTTTATTTTGACTCACTACTAACGACTGACGATTGCTTGTGTGTGAATCTGTTTGACCTTTTTCTTCCTGTCCAGCTTGTCGTGGAGACCCGACACGTCTCTGGTGCTGGCGTCGGCAGTGCTCAGCAGCTGGAAGCATGGAGGAGAGGGTGGGGTCAGACACGTTTAAAAATCACTCAGTGGAAACATTTAAAATTGAGAAACTGGAAATTTTAGGGAAAATTTGTTAATTTCAAAATCATGAAAATGATTCTAACTCATAAGAGACGAGAAGTGAGAAAACAGGATGTTAGGTGTTTGGCTTAGAGACACACCTGTCCAGCTGTGTTGTACAGAGACTCGTGGACAGAAGTGACCTCTGAGCAGATGAACTCCTCCTCAACCAGCTTCTCCTTGGTCTGCTGCAGGTCTTTGCTCGTCTCCTCCAGCCTAAAGCCGATAAACTCATAAATTCCAGAAAACTCCGATCAGAGTCCTCTGCGGTCTGATTTCAGCCTGTGGAATGAAATACCTCTTATGCTTCTCATCCAGGTCAGCGGTGCACTGCTCCAGTTTGGTTTGGCTGTCCTCAAACAGCTCGGTCACCTGCAGAGGAATCGCATCATGAACGGTGCAGCGATGGGAGAAAAAACTGCTGCCAGCTCAGGTTTGTGACAAACCACGAACCTCTGCCTCAACAAAAGCAACTCCCGTTTTCATGTTTGTGACGGAGAGTGAAAAAGAGGGTGGTACCTTTCTAAGCTCCTCCTCCATGATTATGATTTTGTCCACGTATTCTGCAATCTGCTCCTCATGAGCCGTGATCTGTGTCATCATGCTCCTGAAAACAAACGTGTCAGTTCAGACCCAACTCAGGATCAGGATGAGAACTGCCTTTGATCCAGACTTAATGGCAGAACTTTCTTATTCTGTTTTTATTCATTGTTAGGGGCGGGCTACACGATGATATCACATCATGACAGGATAGAACACGTAGATCAGCGATACTCAATTGGCGGCCCACGGGACACGTCCGGCCCGCAAGCCCTCTCTTTGTGGCCCCGAAACCCTGTGCGCACACCCACCCTCGATGACCGACCGGGAGGTGTATAGAGCTGAGGAAAACAATCGATGCATAAGATGCGGGCATGAACGATTCTGCATCATAGATGAGTACACCATAATCAATTATAGTGGAGTGTAGTTTTGTTATTTTAACGGCGGCACCAGCGTAGCATCCAGATCTGTCAGAGCGGTGTTCTCCACTTTTACTGGGTAGGAAACTTTGGTCCGCCTTTATGTGGTTCTACAGGGCTGAGCGCTGGAGTTGTAACCTGAGACCGAACCGGAACCGAATCAGCCCGACCAGTTCTGTTGGATTTGGGCCGCGAATTATGGTAATTGAGTGGGCTTCAACTCAGCTTGGGTGACTGTGTGAAGGGTTGCCCATCCATAAATATATAATCACTGGGTTTATTTAGCACCCGGTTTTTTATTATTATACATTTCAAATGCATAATGAAACACTACAGCCCTACAGACCAGTCTGGTTTTAAAAGGTCAATTTAAATATCAGGTTCTTAACTACAGTAAAAACTGGGACTTACTCGTAGTTTTCTGAAGACAAATAAACTCCGTTCTTTTCTCTGACAGCAATCAGGTCACGTTTCAGCCGCTCGATCTCCTCCGTATATTCCTGAACACAACCGGTGTTGGGTTTAATGTTTTCACAGATCAGCTGATGGGACTCCACCAATCAGGAACACTAAGAACCTCTTAATAAAGTGAGTTGAACTTTTAAAGTTAAGCAAAAAACAAAAACAAAAAAAAAAAAAAAAAAATGGAGTCACATTAATAAAAAGTCAGGCACCAACGATTCCCACTGGTGAGTAAAGAAAACACAAAACGCCCCCAGAGGGGTCCGGGGGAGATGCGGTACCTTAATCAGAGTCCTCTTTGTGAGTTTCTGGTTGACCTCAGGTTTGTTCATTATGTTCTTGGCTCTGCAGGCGTACTCCAGAGTGCTCATGGTCTCCTGCACATGCAAACATGGATTACAATCATTGCCAAAAAATCAGGATTTAAACATTTTGAACAAAAAAAAAAAAAAAAAGCTAATGCTGCAGAAGATTCTTGGAAAATGAAGCAACAGGATGCAGAATCCATCTAAAGGATGCAACAGGAAGTCCAGAGACGCACCTCCATGTTGCTGGAGGATGGAGATACTGTGGCAATGATGGAGGTTTTAGTTCGTCCTCCCAGGGAGTCCTGAAGGATTCTAGTGAGTTTAGACTCTCTGTGGGGCAACAGCAAACATGCCTTAGACATCTGCAGATTATGTGGGTGAAATTTTAAGTTGAAAATCGAACAACCGTTCAGACAACTTTATCATCGGTTTGTTAGGCAGAAACACCAGAGAAAACCATCATGTTGACTTTCAAGACATGTTGGAAAAGTCCAGAGGAGACTGGAGGATGGGCGTCCTGACCTGTAGGGGATGTGAGGCCTCTTCTCCACCAGCGCAGTGATCACTCGGCCCAGCGTCAGCAGAGACTGGTTGATGTTTCCTGCCTCACGAGCTCGTTTGTCCACTGCACCAGAGCGCCCAATGTTCTCGCTGCCAGCCAGATCCACCTGGAGAGGACGCATAAGCGTGGGTTCAAACTTGACATGCTGAGGTTTCCCAAGAATTTCCCCTGGTTCAGTTTAAACTAGCTCCTTCTAAACCAGGGCGGCCAGAATGGATTACTCAGAATTGATCCCTGACAAAACTGTAGCTCAACGCCAGCAGGCAGCTGCTCCACTAGAACCAGTCAGGGTGTTTGCTAGCTGAGGTGTTGTCTTGGCAACAGAGCCATCCATTGAAGAGCAACACTGTAAGGTAGTGACATGCGAGTGCTGATAGTGATGAAGTCACCACCGTAACTCAGGGTTCCTACAGGTTTCATCAAGTTAAATTCAAGACTTTTTAAGAGCCCGTGGGAACCCTGTAACCAGTACAGCAGCAGTGTACAGAGAAAACTAAACAATCAATGACTTGGGGGTAGGGTTGGGCATCGATTCGAACCGGTTCCAACTGTTAGTTTTTCCCGGAATCGTTCAAAGATTTTTTTTTCGATTCCTAGAATGCCAACGGAAGAGGAATCCGCAACGATCTCCGTGAAAAATAAACATGATCTGCAAATTGTGATCAACGCTTTCTATAGCTGATCACACCAGCTGTGTGCAGCACCAACTCCCCCCTCCCCCCCTTGGTGCGCTGCGGTCAAATATAAACAAACGCGTCTGCCGAACCTTTACTCCATAATGTAAACTTCAACTCCTGCAACGTAGAGGAAACTTGTTAAAATACGTCATACGTGAATTTAATAGAAGCTTTAAAGAACAAACTCTGGACGGTGTGAGGTGAGTTTATCTCACTGCAGAAATAAAAACACACACAGAGCATCAGCAGTCAGACACAGCTGCTTGAGCGTCAGAAGGCTGAACAATAACCTGTAGAATAATTAAAGTCATCATGCTAGAGAAGCTATCTCTGTGGTGGACCACACCAGCATCTGCCACAATAAATAATTATAATAATAAGTCACACACAAAGTTGTGAACATTTTAATTTCCTTTCTGAACTATTTCTGTTGAGAGTTTTAATGTTTAAAATCTGTTAGATTGTTACTGACAGCAGCTACATTTAGGTTTCACTTTCTGTTCTGACTGAATGCTGCTGCAGCATGGAGGTGTAGGTTGTTTTTAAATAAACTTTATTAGAATAATACAAGACAATAGGTACAGAAAACACTTGTGCAACCTGCACAAGGAACATTACAAACAGGCAGAGGGTCTTAAAGCATATTGTGACGTGTAAAAAGAGGACAAGAATAAAATTAAACTCATAACATGCTCAGATCCTTCAGAAGTTGAAATGTTCTTATAGCCTTTGTGTTCTTCACATGTTGAATTGTTTTGAAATACAGTTTCCAGTGATCCAGTCCACAAGAAATATTTTAAAGCAAGGATGTCAATTAGACCATTTGCATTTTTGGATATGGAATTTTCCAAGGATGTTGAATAACATACATTATATTTCTGGACAAACTATGAAAATCACAACATAACATTATATCAAAAATTCTTATACTGATGTTGACTTTCAATTTTGTGACAATAAATGCTTCCAGTTCAGACCAAAATCTTTTGGTGTAGAAACAGTGATCAAATAAATGAAATATTGTTTCTCTACTTGATTGGCAGAATGTGCACGACTCTTCCATATTTAATGTGAATCTTTTAAGTACATCTTTAACAGGGTAAATTTGGTGCAAGATTTTAAATGAAACTTCTTTAATTTTATTATTAATACAATATTCATGTACTGTAGTATTAGCCTTCTTCCAATTTAGGTAACCCATGATTGAATACCAAAAAAACTTGGCAGCAGGTGGGACCAAACAAGAAATTTGGTTTCTAACATATTTATTAGTACATCTTTCCCTTGTAATCTCTACAGCTCCAACAAAACTTCTATTAGTTTCAGCATTATGTTCAAATGTCACGCCTTTTAGGATTTGGAGGGATTGCAATCCCTGCAGGGATTGCATCAAATACCACTGCATATTCCTTCGGTGTCACTGGGAAATCGAAGAACTGCAGAAATTCTGAACATGACATTAGAAAAGCATTTTTATTCAGTAACTGACCTACTAACAGGATTCCTCTGTCAAACCATGTCCGATTAAACATGGATTTATTTTTATAGAGGATATCTTTGTCGTTCCAGATGAATACCTATGTGGGCTAGAATTATGTTTATACATCAAGATCCAGGATAACAGGGCTTGTTTATGGAACTCAGCTAATTTCAAGGGAATTTTATTAATAGAAAAATTACATTTCAGCAAAAAGTTTATGCCACTGAGGGTATTAAATACATATGCTGGAAAAGCATTCCAGATAATGTTAGGATTTCTTAAGAATTTGATGAGCCATTTGACTTATAGTATTAAAATCTAGTACACTCAGACCACCTTGCTCTCTATGTCCTGTGACAACAGCTTTAAGATAATGAGGTTTTTTCCTCCAAATATAGTCATATAATGTTTCATCTAATTTTTTTAATTGTAGTTTTTTGGATGTCTAGTGACAAGGTAACATATGTGATATGCCTTCTGCCGTTGATATTAAAACTCTGCCAAATAAAGACAAATCTCTCATTAACCATGAATTAAGTTTAGATTGTGTTTTTTTAACAATTGGATCAAAGTTTAACTTGTGATGTTCCTCCTTATTTTTACAAATTACAACTTCGAGATAAGTTACTGTTTTATTAATTGGTATGCCATCCTTTAGTGGAAACGAGACTGATTTATTAATATTGATTTATTAATATTCACTTTCAGTCCTGATACTTCACTAAATTTATTAATGTAGTTTATTGCTGTTTCAATTTGATTTTTATCCCATAAAAAAATGGCTGTATCATCTGCAAGTTGGCAAATTTTAAACTTTTTCCCGACAGCATTTATTCCTGAAAAAGGTGCCCTTTTTATGTGTGTAGCCATTGTCTGAGAAACTAAGGGAAATAAGAATGGAGACACCAGGCATCCTAGTCTGATACCACGAGATACATTAAATCTTTCAGATGTGCCCGTTTTCAGTTTAACCGAACGAGAACATCCGTTGTATAACGTTTGAATTGCATTATGAAAGTAAGTACCGAAGCCAAAGAAGGAAATGGATTCTAGTATAAAGTTATGCTGTATAGTGTCAAAAGCCTTATAAAAAAAATCAATGAATAGTGTGAAGCCATCATTTGGAATGAGTTTGCTGTAATCTATCATGTCTAATACTGCTTATGTCTGTTGTGCATAAATCCAGACTGCACTTCATCTATAATTTGGTTCAATCCATATTTAAGTCTTCTGGCAAATACCAAAGCTAATAATTTGACGTCACTATTCAGTAAACTTATTGGTCTCCAATTTTCAATGTATAATTTATCCTTATTTGGTTTGGGAAGTAAGGTAATCACGCCCTGTTTCATAGTCGGAGGAAGTTCACCTTTCTCAATGGCTTCTTCAAACACAGCTAGCAAAAAGGGAGTTTTTCATTGAACTCTTTATAAAATTCTCCTGTTAAGCCATCATTTCCAGGCACTTTATTTTCCTTTAATAGTTTAATACATTCCACAGGGTCAGGTAAGCAAATCCCTTTTTCACAGACGTCTCTAAATTCTTCATTAATTTTCTTAGCATTTGTGGAGAGGTTTTCCAAAAAGGCCTCTATACCAGAACTCGTGGAGGCTGATGAATATAAATCCTGATAAAAGCCAGCAACATATTTTGAGATTATTTTCTGGTCGCTCGTAATATTTCCATTTACTGACAAACTGCTTATTGTATTATATTCTGCATGTCTCCTCTCTAATCCAAATAAATACTTTGTATTTTTCTCTCCTTTTTCAATCCATTTGCATCTGGATCTGACAAAGGCACCTTTAGTTTTTCTATGTAAATTTCATCTAGTTTACGTTGTAATAGTTAGATTTTCTTTTTCTTTTTCAGTAAGATTACCATTAGATGTTATCTGTAAACTTAAAATTTCTTTAATAAGTCTTGATTCATTTTCTCTTTTTTCCTTTGCTAAACTCTTCCCCTTTTTTATAGCCATTTTCCGAATTTCAAACTTTGTTAGTTCCCAGTTTTGTCCATAGTTACCGGAATTACAAGCTTGTTTCCAATATTTATCAATGATCATACCAATTTCTACCTTAAATTCCAAGTGATTAAGTAATGAATTGTTAAATTTCCAGTAACTGGGAAAATACTTCTGAGACGAACGCTCATTCAGGTAAATTTTAATAAGTATAAGTTTATGGTCTGTTAAGATGGCTGGTTCTACCCACCTCTACCCTCCACCTTGTCTACAAGGTCATTGGAGACAAGCCAAAAATCTATGCGTGACTGCAAGGACATGTTTTTATTGCTCCAAGTATACATTCTCTGCACTTTGTTCCTTTCTCGCAAGACATCATTAAGTCCCAGACGATGACATATTTGTCAGTTCACAGTTTATGTTAGAAGATTTTGCGGGCCATCAGTCTAGGTTTTCATTGATTACTGTATTGAAATATCCTCCCCATACAACCTTAGCTTCTGGGAATTTCGTAATAAGTTGACAAATTCCTACCTCAGCATTTTTGAAAAGGGACTGATTCTTAATATTGTCATTGGTGGCATAAATGTTGACCATTATGAAATGTTTCTGATCCGTTTCACAAACTAAAATAATTAGTCTCCCGGAATCATCTTTTCCACTATATAAAATCTTACCTTTAAAATTACCTTTCAAAACAGCCACACCTGCTGATTGATTACTTCCATTTGAAAACCATATTTCACTCCACCCATTGGTTTATCCAAAAAGATTCTTCCTCTACACATGCATGAGTTTCTAGAGTAAAATAAAAATCTGCATTGTTGCTCTGCAGTACAAAAAATAAGCTTTTCTTCTGAGTAAATCTCTTAAACCTCTGGCATTAACAGAACAAACACAGAGAGACATCAAGTAAGAAAGAAAAAGAAGTGGTTTACCTTTAGTGTTTTCTATAGGCAACAGGTAGCTTGCATATATAAAGCAGAACTTGTAATAACTGTTCTCTTCAACTTTGGGTTAGAAGGAATTATTGTGGTTTGTAGTCATTTTTCCAATTCTAATTCTCCTAGAACATGTTATTTTATCACAAGAAAAGAATGGATTTGAACAACTTAACAGTCCTAATTTTGGATATTATCAGTGCCAATTGCTTGTTGCATATCTAGGTGGGACGTATTTCTTTACCGTCGATGAATGCTCTCGCACCGCTGAAATACGCAGCTTTGCCTTCTTTCCTGGCTTGCTCCACCGCGGGCCACAGACGACTTCTTGCTTCCTTGTCAGTGGTTATGAGATCCTCCTTGAAGCGCAGTCCTTGAGTTTGCAGAAAGGGGCTCTGCCTGGCGTGCTTCCAGATGAGGTCCCTCGCCGTTCTTGAGGTAAACCTGATTGGTCGCGGCTTCCCCCGCTGATCTTCCCCGGCTCTGAGCCGGCCAACACAGTGTGCGATATCCACCTCCACGTCGTATCTCCGCTCTTCTGGGACCACGGCTCTGCAGAACTCGTCACTCTCTCCTTCACCTTCTCCGAAGTTTTCAGCCTCCCCATGGAGTTGCAGGCACCATCTCCGACTGTAACGTTCCTGGTCATTCATCCTCTGTTCCAGCTCCGTAGTTTTAACTTTTAACTTCGTGTTTTCTCTTTTAAGGTTTTTGTTTTCAATTTTCTGATCCAGAACACCTGAATGAATAGTTTAAACTTTCACACATACTCTCAATTTCCTTTGAATTGCTCTTTATCATGTTCTCCAGGTGGTCAGCTCGGTTGTTGATTTTCTCAGAAAGAATCTGAATAATGTTGTTCTGGACTTCCATTAAACTTGGCTCAGATGCCTCAGTCGAATCATAATTCTTGGGCTTTTTTGCAGCAGGGTTCTTACTTGGTATGTTTGGAGAAGGTTCACATCTTCCTCCGCTTCTTAGTTTACTGGCATAGGAAGGAGTGTCCTCAATCTTTCCCTTTTCTTTATTGTGGTCCACTTCCATCCCTTCCAGCGTGGAATGCTGTTTTCTGGTAGACATTTTGCTAGCAAGTCTAGGTTGTTGTTCGACGATGGTGTTAGAGTTCTTTAGCGTTTAATTGCCTTTCTCCGTTCTTTAACTACTGAGATGTTATTTACTTAATTTTTAGGGAAAAAAGATTTACTCCATACCAAAAGTTTGCAAGAAAGCCTGTTGCCGTACCTCCACTCAAAACAGCATCTGCTCACAGCGCCACCTTGGCCCCCTCATGGAGGTGTAGTTCTCAGTCATCCTGGACATGATCATCCTGAGAGTTTTAGCTGAAAACAGCTGGACGTTTCTGGATATGTGGGAGACATTTAGCCTCTCATCCCAGAGGCTTCTTCCAGACTTTGGTTGTGGTCAGAAACAAACACACTGGTTGTGCTGCAAGTCTTTTGCTTTTTTTCTCCAAAACATGTGTTTGTCTAAATGAAGGTGATGTTGTTGTTCAGAGAATTAAAATTCATGATGAAGTTAAGATTATTTCAAGTAGGACCTGTGGTTAGCTGGCTCATGTAAATCAGGGTTTTTCCTGCATTCAAATTTGCATGGTGCCCACCTCCAGCTAATTTTGTGCCGCTCCAGCCTGATTTCACTCTGCCCCCAGCTATATGGATGTTATTTTAACTGCAGTTGCAGCGTTGCACCACTACACGGGCGCTGTATCAGCAGCGGTGCACCGAAAAGCGCTAAAACCGCTGCAGACAAAGATCAAAAATCGCTTTTCTCGCTAGTTGGCACATATCAATGGTTGGTGCTATTGACGTCCTGATTTTCCCACAGGCTCTTCCATATCAGAGCAGGGCTGTACAGTGCGATGATAAAAACTGTCTGTGCGTGTCTGCCTATTTTTAAACGTAGCACTGGTGCAACATCTTTGAATTACATGCTGTAGTTTTTTTTTAAACAGAGCAGTTTTTAGGACGTTGTCGTCCTCTGCTGCCCGCTCTCCCCTCATTGCATCGTCAGAGAGGGGAGAGCAGGCAGCAGAGGGCGACAACGTCCTCTGCTGCCCGTGGATAAACGAAGAAGGAAGTGACGCCACCATCAGAGTCAGCCTGAGGAAGTTTGCAGCCGCAAACAAAACGTAGCGGGAAAACAGGTAAACAAAACTGCTCTGTGTTTTAAAAAAAGAACTACAGCATGGAATTAGAGATACGACACAGCAAGAACACACCTAAGATTGGCTAATGCTAAAGCTAATGGGTAGCAGTCTCACGATCAAGTGGCGCACAGAAAAATATATGATGACCAAAAAACTAAGAAAGGCTAAACTCTACAAGCGGAAGAAAAGTCCCCACCATCCTGTTTATTCTGCATCCTGCAGCGCTATGGATCAGAACCGCTGCAGATACGAGTCACATTACTGCTACAAGTCTGCTCCACACACAGGAGCAAGAACTACGGCAAGCCGCTGTAGTATACAATTCACAAATACATCTGTCTTTGAACATAATTTAAACTGGATTATTGCCAACCCGTACTTAATATACATGCCACCATTACATTGTTAGCAGCAGAAATTAAATGTTAAATTTTAAATACCATTTCCAGTACAAATGCATGTTAATTAAATGCATTATATTTTACTGGATACATTTATGTGTTATTTTGACTAAGATAAGTGTTATTAATACAAACCTAAAATGTTACTGAAATGTAGGTCAAATATTAAAAAATATTTTTAACTATAAGTATCAGACGGGAAAAGGAAACTAGACACCAATCTAATGCATATTATTGAGCCTTTTATAATCAGAGTCTTATTTCAGCCTGATAATTTTGTTGTTTTATTTCATATTTTTTAGCAGCAAACCAGTTTTCACTTGAAACGTTGTCATATGGAATATTCAATTAATCAACAGAAGCTTAGATTATAACGCTTAACGAAAAAATATTTTGCCTTTAAAAAGTGAGGCAGTTGAATGCAAAGACTATGCGTGTGCTGGCGCACGGTCAGGATGGTTCCACCTCTGCCTCAGTTTGAGCCAGGAAAACCCAGTAAAACATGTCATGTTTTGAAAGAATCGGAACCAGAATCGAAATGAGGAATCGGAATTGTTCAAAATCAAACGATGCCCAACCCTATTTGGGGGTCAGCGTGACTAATCTCTGCAGCAACATTACTAGTTACTAAACACTTGTTACTCGATTTCAGTTAGGCCTTCCCTCTGCCGTTTAAGATGAAGCACTCTTACCAGATGAAGTTTGCCGATCTTCACCAGCTCCTCTCCGTCCATTGTGATCTCCTTCATGTGAATCGTTACGGAGAACACCGAGTGGGAACGGCTGCACACGAGCAGAAGTAAAACTCACACTAAACTCTTGGAGAGGCTGCAGGACTGCTGTATCTGGGAGCAGTGGCTTTACCTGGAGTAGGAGTTCATGAGAGTGGAGGCTGTCCTCCTCTTGGCTGCTCCCCACTCCAGGATCTGGTACACCTCGTCTTTGTTATGGACCGTCACCTCCTCCAGACCCTTCACCACCACGCCGCGCTGCAACACAGAAGCAGTCAGAGTCAGAAAACCAAACAGTAGCAGATATTTATGCCATCTTCCTGAAGTGAAACCTTGTTTCGGGGGTCATCAAAGATCAGCAGCCGTTCATTCACATCCTCCGTGGGGCTGAGAAGGTCAAACAGCTCTTCGTTGTAGATCTCCAACAGCGAAACCTTCACAGAGAACTCTGTGCCGTTCTCGGTTAGCTTCTCAAAGATCTGATGCAACGTTCGGGGGATGATCCCAGCCAGTGGGTCCTGCACACAGAAGGCCGATGATACCAGACAGGCCAAATCATTCAGTGATTTCCCTCTAGCTCAGACTCTGAGTGGAAATGCTACAGAGTTTCTGTAAATAATTCTTCTGAACTCACCTCCTCCCAGGTGAACTGCCCATCAGGGCTCCTCTCTCCCTCCATGGTGAACGTCTTTCCTGTTCCAGTCTGACCGTAGCTGAGAAAAGAGAGGCAGGCAAGTGTTTTTAAAAGAAAGTGTAACCTTTGATGTCAAAAGAAAAGTTTCCAGGAGGACTCACGCAAAAATGGTGCAGTTGTATCCCATAAAGACTTCGTCCAGAATGGGAAAAACAACACTCCTGTACACGTCGATCTGCTTGGCAGCTGGACCAAAGACCTGAAGACAGAATTTAACCAACCTTTAGTCTCTTGCCTAAATCTCATCTACATTAAAGTTCTAATGGACTGGGTCTAACCGGACCAGAACCTGGACTCACCATATCGAAGGTGTAGGTTTTCCGCGAGGCCTTATCGTTCACTCCCCCCGTCTTCACGATCACCTCTTTCCTGTTCTGATCACAGTCGATGACTGCATGTGAAGACTTTCGCTCCATGGTGTTGAAAGGTCTGAGAAGACAGAGCGTGAGCGTTATCTAGTGTTTATTTTGTCTAGAACAGCTAAAGATTAGTGCTATTGTTGACACGTTTGCATTCACTTCTGATCTTCGCTTCAGTAACCACCATTATCCATGGGAACCCAGTGGAGGTAGTGGAGGAGTACAAGTATCTGGGAACCACCTTTGACAACCTCCTGAAATTCTCTGCTAACACAGAGGAGATTCTCAGGAAGTGCCACCAACGGTTATATCTCATTAGGAAGCTCAACTCCTTTGGAGTCAGCTCCTCAGTCATGATGACTTTTTACTGTGCCTTCCTGGAAAGCATCATGACCTTCTCCATCACTTGCTGGTTCTACTCCCTTAAGCTGGGCGTACACTGTGCGACTTTTTCACTCGCAGCGTTCAGCTTCAGCTCAAACTGTACGACTTCCTCGCAGAGCAGATCTCACGAGCCAGGCGCTCACACTGTACGACCCAGTTCTCGGATGCGACCAGACTGCTCACACTGTACGTCTGGTAGCAACACCTCGGCCCTAAAAATATGCTAAAAATAGCAGTTTTTACTCAACACGTCAGACTTTTTTGTCTTGTCTTGCCTGTTGTCCTTCGGGAGTGCTGCAGGAGGACACACAGGGATTTATGGGGGTTGGATGAGGAAAACAAAATAAAGAAAGTAAATCTGTGTTTTGTGATCAGTTTAATTTGACATGAACACAGCAAACACGCTTTCTTGACAATATTTGTGAGTAAAAAAACGTGTAGAAACAAAAACGAACAACGTGTGTTATTAGGGAAATAGCGGGGAGCGGCTTTGATGCAGGATTGCGCATGCGCTGTGAGCGGTTCTGATACTTTTTGGGTCGCAGCTGCTCGCAGCGCCGCTTCAACAGTGCGATACCCTCACGAGGGACGAGCGAAATTTTAAACACGCCAGAAGTCCGTGCAACCTCACGACTGCTGATCGGCAGCTGGTCACGTGGTGTTAATCGCCTCTCGTAACCCCCTGTACACTACACGACCGCGCGGCGCAAAACTCGCCCCAATGTCGTGGATTCTCGCACGAGTGGAAAATCGGCTCAAAAAAGTGAAAAAGTCGCACAGTGTACGCCCGGCTTTAGCCTCCAGAACAGGAACAGACTGCAGCACACTGCATCAGTGTGTTCCAAAATCGTTGGTCTGCCTGTCAGAACTCTTGCTCAGGTTTTCTATCAACAAGCCCTGAGACAGGCAGCCAAAATCCTCCACAACCCCTCTCACATTCTTCACCCCGAATTTCAATGGCTCCCCTCTGGGCGACGCATACGCTGCATTTCCTGTAAGACTGAGAGGAGGAGAGCCACCTTTGTCCCCAAAGCCATTCTGCTCTTTAACTCCAGCAGATAAGATAAGATCATCCCCCGATAAACCCTCTCCTTGGGCTCTCCATATATTTAACTTTTATACAGACGACACTTTAGTCACTTTATTCACTTACTCAGTGTTTTTTGCATATTTTACTGTTTTATCCATCTTCTTGCTGCTTTATTACTTCCTTCCTTATTGCCTATTTATTCAATGTTTGTAAGTCCAACATCATGCTGCTCTGCTGTTATTTTTTTTAATTGCCCCTCGGGGATAAATAAAGTTTTTCTGGTTCTGATTATGTTGTCTAGAACAGCTAAAGATTAGTGCTATTGTTGACACGTTTGCATACATTTTTACTAAATGTATGCACTAAAAACGTTTAAATGTGGTTTTTATGTACTACAGATGGTTTGTGATGAGCCTTTTGTCCTGATGTTTCAGACTGCTCGTTATGGTCAGGCTGCTGATAACAAAGAGCCTTAAGATTAGTTTACATATCATTTTCTATCCCGTCTGTTCAGGACAGAACAAATGTGAAAATCTGCCTCCGTGAAGCCCGACGAACCTCCTCAGACTGCTGAAAAGTGGGTAGCATCATATGTGTCGACACACTTAACAGTTTAGAGAAATGGTGTGAATAAAAGCGGATTTGTTTGTGTACCTGCATCTTACAACGACCTGGATGTTTCTGCCCTTCTCCTCCCGTTTAGCTCCTCCGCCGTTAAATGAAGACATGATGACCGAGAAGGGGTTAGCTCCTCTGCAGAAACAATTCCAGTTAGCACACACTAACTATTCATGTATTAAAACTAACGAAGAAGTCTGTCAACAATGCTTAAAACAATACAAACGAAACAAGAGCGAACTCTTTTAGCTGGTTCAACTAAACACCAGAAACTAGCATCGAGTTAACCGTTAAATACGGACTAGCTTACCGTTTTATCGGAGTAAAACTTAGCAGAGAGTAACTGCGACTTCTCACTCAGTTCGCCCAGAAAGCTTCTGGCGCTCAACAAGAAACGTTTCAAAAATGTTTTTGAATTACCTTAGAACCAATCGGAGAATAGCGATAGAAGAACAACCCAAACGATTGGTCCAAAAATAACATGTGGCATTTAAGTAGTGAAGGATCATGGGACTTTTCAGACAAGACCAATCAATAAACAACCACAGATTGGGTGCTGAAGGGCGTAACAGCGATGCAGCCATATTGGATGGGTCGGCTCACTCTCCAAAGTCCAATCCAATCCAAATCCAATCCAATTTTATTTATAAAGCGCATTCACAAGGCATTACAACCAAACAAGGCGCTGTACACTAAAAATGTTAGTTAATTAAACCAGCGTTATATAAACATGTTGAACACAGATAAAAGATAAAAAGGAAATACAAGAAAATTCCCAAAACTAACAGCTAAAAATCAATAAGACAGGGTGAATAAAAAATTAGAAAAACATTTTAAAAAAGAAGAACCTCAATAGTACGGACGTTGACAAGAGTGAAGACCATTTTTAAACAGTACAGATGTAAGTGAGGTTCATAATTATGTGGTATAAGCTAGGTTGAAGTAGTGAGTTTTCAGGCGTGATTTAAAAATGCTAGCTGTTGGTGCTTGCCTCACTAGCAGTGGTAATGCGTTCCACAGCTTTGGTGCACAGACAGAGAAAGCCCTTTCTCCACGGCAAGTCAATGCAGAGTGAGCAACTATGCCCTTTTTGTGCAGCCAACGGATAAAACAACTAGCCTACCTTATAGGATTTTATATTGAAATATATTTCATTTATGTAGTTTAATCATATTTATATTTTGATTATCATGCCATATCTTGTGTCTGATTTTGTGACAAAGCTTGATTAAATATTCATCCATCCATCCATCCATCCATCCATCCATCCATCCATCCATCCATTTTCATCCGCTTATCCAGAGTTGGGTCGCGGGGGCAGTAGCCTAAGGCAAGAGGCCCAGACTTCCCTCTCCCCAGCCACTTGGGCCAGCTCCTCCGGGGAATCCCAAGGCGTTCCCTGGCCAGGTGAGAGACGTAGTCCCTCCACCGTGTCCTGGGTCTACCTTTAGGTCTCCTCCCGGTTGGACGAACCCAGAAAACCTCAACAGGGAGGCGTCCAGGAGACATCCTGACCAGATGCCCGAGCCACCTCAATTGGCTCCTCTTGATGTGGGGAGCAGCGGGTCTACTAAGAGCCCCTCCCAAATGACCGAGGTTCTCACCCTATCTCTGACGAAGAGCCCAGCCACTCCGGAGAAAACCCATTTCGGCCACTTGTATCCGCGATTTCGTTCTTTCGGTCACTACCCAAAGCTCATGACCACAGGTGAGGGTAGGAACTTAGATCGACCGGTAAATTGAGAGCTTCGCCTTCTGACTCAGCTCTTCACCCCAACAGACCGGTACAACGCCCGCATCACTGCAGATGCAGCACCAATCCGCCTATCAATCTCACGCTCCAGTTTTCCCTCACTCGTGAACAAGACCCCGAGATACTTAAACTCCTCCACTTGGGCCAGGACCTCATCTCTGACCCGGAGAAGGCATTCTTCCCTTTTCCGAATCAAGACCATGGTCTCAGATTTAGAGGAGCTGATTCTCATCCCAGCTGCTTCACACTCGGCTGCGAACCGCTCCAGCAAAAGCTGAAGATCATGTTATGATGAAGCCAACAGGACCACATCATCTGCAAAAAGCAGAGACCTGATCAGGCCACCAACACGGATACCCTCCACACCTTGGCTGCACCTAGAAATCCTGTCCATAAAGGTTATGAACAGAATCCGTGACAAAGGGCAGCCTTGGCGGAGTCCAACTCTCACTTGGAACGAGCCCGACTTACTGCCGGCAATGCAGACCAAGCTCTGACACCTGTCATACAGGGACCTAACAGCCCGTATCAGAGGGCCTGGTACCCCATACTCCCAGAGTACCCCCCACAAGGCCCCCCGAGGGACACGGTCAAACGCCTTCTCCAAATCCACAAAACACATGTAGACTGGTTGGGCAAATTCCCACGCACCCTCCAGGATCCCCCTAAGGCAGTGGTTCCCAAACTTATTTAGCCGCGCACCCCCTTCTATGTCCCGACCATGTCGACGCACCCCCCAGCCCCGACATCAGGGCATGGCTATATATATATATGTATGTATATATATATATATATATATATATATATATATATATATATATATATATATATATATATATATATATATATATATATATATATATGTATGTATATCAGACGTCAAGCTAAACAGACAGGGTTAAAAAATATGATCGACCTTTTTCCCCTTCACTTTCATTTTTTAAATAGTAATTAATAAGCATTCGATACCATTACAATTTCCTTTGATTTAATTTTAAATAAATATTTAGAGTGCCCAGGTAGCACATAACCAATGCAATTTAATGATTTTCTTAAAGTAGGAACGTTTAACCTGCGGCCAGAGCTCTCTCCTTCCTTCTGCTCTGCGTAAACCTGAGCTGATCACCTACTTGTGCGTAATCAAATGTCTATAGGGGAAAATTTGGAAAGCCATGAGGTTCACTTTTGCCTCAGACCGACTTATTGCTGTTTTATGGTGTGGCTGAATCTGCGATCCGCTGCCACGTGGACAGGAATAACAAGTGCTGCAGTAACATGAGCTCAGGTTCGGAGTCACTGGCTGGAGCGGACCCGACTTTAATACGTCATCCCAAAATAAAAGCTAACATCTTAATTTGGCCTTGAATGAAAAATGTTATAAAACCTCTTAAAAGTTTTTATCACAGAGGAGGCAGCGCTCATTTCTGTCTTCAGTCTGACGGCGCGCCGGAGTTTGCGCAGCGTGCGCGCTTATTGAATCTGTGTGTGTGTGTGTGTGTGTGTGTGTGCGCGCGCGGCACAGCTCCATGAAGCTTGGTTTATGCTTGACGCATTCACTTTCCGCTTGATGATGCGGCTCGCGGATGGAACGAGCTTCACAACTTGCAGCGTTTATTCACCGCGTCTCGTTATTGGCGCTATTTAAACCAATAATGTAAAATTACTTCTGCCCAGCCCAGATGTGCTCACTTGTGCACCCGTGAGCCGTGGTTCTGCTGGAACGCGTCTGACCTCTGACAGACGCACTCTGAACTCCAGATCTTCAGCGCGCTGTTAATAGCCTGAATGGTAATCATTTCTTGATTTATTTAGTTACATCCACAATGTTCTGTGTGTGAGGTTTACAATGTCAGAACACCTGCATGAGACAGGGTGTTAATTACAATCTGCCAGAATGACTCGCCACCTTCAGATTTCTCCAACACCGTTAAAAATGATCAAATACGGAACATATCAGCGTGCGAAGGCCAGAGTGCTGAAGCTCGGCGCATTGTTATTATGAAGCTAGGGCACATGCGGAGGACACACGCGCAAAAATATACTCGTTTTCAGTTACATTTATTGTGCCCACTTACTTTTTCTTTGGCCCACCCACAAATGAGTTTCTGGCTACGCTAATGGTGACATATGACAGACCTCTCTGAGCTCCGCAGCCATTACACTTTTCACCTCGCGCACCCCCGGGGGTGCGCGCACCACAGTTTGGGAATCCCTGCCCTAAGGGTATTGAGCTGGTCCAGTGTTCCACGGCCAGGTCGAAAACCACATTGCTCCTCCTGAATCTGAGGTTCAACAATCCGACGGACCCTCCTCTCCAGAACCCCTGAATAGACCTTACCAGGAAGGTCAGGAGTGTGATCCCCCTGTAGTTGGAACACACCCTGCGGTCCCCCTTTTTAAATAAGGGGACCACCACCCCGGTCTGCCAGTCCAGTGGGATTGCCCCCGATGTCCATGCGATATTGCAGAGCCGCGTCAGCCAACACAGCGCCACAACATCCAGAGCCTTAAGGAACTCTGGGCGATCTCATCCACCCCCGGAGCCTTTCCACAGAGGAGCTTTTTAACCACCTCAGTGACCTCAGCACCAGAGATTTGAGAGGCCAACCCAAAGTCCCCAGACTCAGCTTCCTCACTGGAAGACATGTTGGTGGGATTGAAGAGGTCTTCGAAGTATTCTGCCCACCGATCCACAACGTCCTGAGTAGAGGTCAGCAGCACACCGTCCCCACTATAGATAGTGTTGGTAGCACACTGCTTTCCCCCCCCCAAGGCGCCGGATGGTGGACCAGAATCTCCTTGAAGCCGTATGGAAGTCTTGCTCCATGATCTCACCGAACTCCTCCCATGCCCGGGTTTTTGCCTTGGCGACCACCCAAGCCGCGTTCCGCTTGGACTGCCGGTACCCGTCAGCTGCCTCTGGAGTCCCACAGGCCAAAAATACCTGTTAGGACTCTTTCTTCAGCTTGACAGCATCCCTAACCGCCGGTGTCCACCAGCGGGTTCAGGGGTTGCCACCACGACAGGCATCGACGATCCTGCGACCACAGCTCTGGTCAGCCGCCTCAACAATGGAGGCACGGAACAGGGTCCATTCAGACTCAATGTCCCCCGCCTCCCCCGGAACATTTTGGAAGTTCTGTCGGAGGTGGGAATTGAAGCTCCTTCTGACAGGAGACTCTGCCAGATGTTCCCAGCAGACCCTTGCGATACGTTTGGGTCTGCCTGGTCTGACCGGCATCCTCCCCCACCATCTGAGCCAACTCACCACCAGGTAGTGGTCAGTTGACAGCTCCGCCCCTCTCTTCACCCAAGTGTCCAAGACATGCGGCTGCAGGTCAGATGAAACAACAACAAAGTTGATCATCGAGCTGTGGCCTGAGGTATCCTGGTGCCAAGAGCACATATGGACACCTTTATGTCTGAACATGGTGCTCATTATGGACAATCCATGACTGGGTTTTAGCATCTGGCCCACACTGGAACTGATCTAGGTAATGGCTGGAGACGGAGTTCTTGCCCTCCAGCTAGTGTGCATATGTGCAGTTACCTGGATGTAAACAATAATCTGCAATGGGTCAATATATTAGATTTGTTTTTGGTAATAATGGAAGAAATCAGGAAATCTCCTAGAAATAGAAAACTTCCATCAAGATTTGTTGATGGCTTAGGGTTATCCCATGCAGTAAGTAATTTTGACTCTGCACTAAATAGTTTCTAAGTTACGTTCCACAGTTTCTGTTCTCTAGTATTTCTGCTAATACTAACATGTCTTAGCTTCTCATTTCAGGAGAAGCAGTGTGCATACCTGCTTGGTGTGGATGAAAACCCTCCAGTGACCTCTGT